CATATTACTATGATCATGGGTTTAACCTCTGTGGACTATCCATGGATCTCTTAGCCTATACTATAAATATCATTTATTTACATAATCAATCCCTCCATATTTAATTAGTTTCTTTTGACCACAAAATTAATTGCAAATTAATTTTTGGACAATACTAATTAAATAACCATATTAATATATTATACTTATAATATATTAATAAATCGTAAATAACCATACTCTCATAAAACCATCCTATCAAATTGAACTAGTGAAAGAAACCCAAAAGGAGCATGCTATTACCGGATCAAGTACATACCAGTTATAGCTATGGACTTAGACACCAAATCCAACACATATGGCCGATGGCTTGCATTATGTTGTTGCCCAAGTGTCGCCTTATTTGGCTGCGACCGTCGAATGTATCTCCGAGATAGAGGCCCTTCAGTCTGATTTGGACAAGGGGGACGCTAAATGTGAAGAATTGAAGGCCCAAGTGGCAAAGTTGGAGGCCGATAAGAGCGAATTGGGAGCTACGCAGGAGGCGGTGTTACTTGAGAAGGCGAGTCTCGCGGATGAAGCGGAGAAATTTGGGGGAAGAGGTGAAGTTTTTGAAGGATCTTGTGAGGGATCTGTCACTGGAGAACACTGGTATGAGTAAGCGGGTGGTAGAGTTGGAGGTTGATCTTGTGACATCCCCAATTTCACGCCCAAAAAAGACCGATTTGTTTATGCTTTGTTTTATAAAATCAGAGTAATCCTTTAATTAAAAGAGTTGCGGAATTTGTTCCCAAAATAAAATATGATAAAATAAAATTTATCAAAGCATTTCTTAAAGAAATGTATTTTCATTAAACAATAAAATCTCGGGATGTCATGTTCCGATACAGACCAAAAGCATAAACAATATAAAATAGACCTTACAAATATTATTTATAACTACTGATATATAATCCAAAATCTCTCGTCAAATCCACCAACTTATACCCTTGTGTCATTACCTGTAATACAAAGAAAACTGAGTGGGTCAGGCTTGGGAGTCTGGTGAACATATAGAGTTTTCAACCCAATTTAATATAATTATTATATTTAACCATCAAACAATAAACCCAATTAACCATCCCCATTATCTTCGTTTAATCTTCCCTAAAGATATTATCCTAAGGGTCATCTCCTATATCATATTTACCTCACATCTCCTTACATCTTATTTCCTTATATGTTTGTTCAAAGAACTTTTCCTAAGGATCATCGACTACATCGCATAGACAATACTAATTCGGGGATCACTCCCTCAATATGTGTCTAGTAAGGGTTAGGGTATCATCGCATGATTACGCAGCCACAACATCACCTAGACTCATAAATCATAATAAGGGTTAGATTATCATCGCATGAATATGCAACCACAACATCGCTTGGACTGGTAATTCATAATAAGGGTAAGACTATCATCGCATGAATACGCAACCACAACATCGCCTGGACTCGTAATTCATTACCTATCTATCATCACCTAATTATCATCACCATTATATCCTCACCTATTTCTTATCACATTATCACACACCAACTACTTCTTCTACCCATGTTCTACCCAACATATTTGTAGATATAAATTACATATATACAGTTTAAAACTATTTAAAAACCTGTATAAAACATTCATTCAACATCTATCTCAAGTAAACAACAATATATAAATACCCCATATTTCATAGCAAATACTTCATATCTATGTGTTAGAAGAGAGTAACTACACACTCACACATATAAACAATAATATATATATATATATATATATATATATACACACACACACACATAGCACATATTTTATAAAATACTTAATATCTATGTGTAAGATGAAAGTCACTATACACTCACTTGATCAAAAGATGATCGGACAACACTACGACTCTAACAGCAGTACTTCTTCGATGAAACTAGAAGATCTTCACACATCGGGCTTCTTGCAGGCAGAGCTTCGGCTCGGAAACTCTTTTCTTCTCAGGATCTTCGGTATTCAGGACTTGCTTCGTGTCTCGTGATGATACCGGGGCTTCGGGGGGTTAAAATAGGGCTTAGAAAGGGTATTGGGAGTGTGAGAGTAAGGGAGGAGCAAACAAAATTGGCTGACCCTTGATTTCTATTTATAGGGCCATTTTCTGGATTCACGTCATGAATCTCAAATATTCATGTCGTGAGTTTAATAGTCATCAGGTGCGTCATCGCAACTTGCATCTGGCATACTCCAGAAGTCATAAATACTAAGTTCACGTCGTGAACACAGTATTCACGTCGTGAACTCTGATAGTTTTGGGGTTTTGCACCCCGAACTTCAGAAATTCATAATTTTTGCATACGAACTTCGTTTTCGACGTTCTTTATATCCACGCACAGGTGAGATTATGCTCTACAACTCTCGTTTAGACTTTGTCAGCTAAATTTGAATTTATTTTTATTATATTTTTATTATAGTATTTTAAGTAGGTCGGGATAGGAAAACTCCGTTAGAAATCCATAACTTCTTTATCTGACGTCCGTTTTCGTCTGTCTTTTTACCGTCAGACTACTATCGATGAGATATTAGATTCTCGTTTAGATCGTTTCGGCTAGAAATCACTCGATCTCATATTCGAACTTTGAGCTGGATACTGCTAATGCTGAAACTTCGAAAAATCAGAACTTCCTCATACGAAGTCAGATTTAGACGTTCTTTTTATGCACGATCTTGGTTTAACGTATTCTACGACTTTCATTTAGATCGCTAAGGCCAAATATTTCTCTAAC